CGAAGCAGAGCCAAGTGAGATCAGAAGACGATTGTGGCTTGGAGAAGGAGCTGGATTTGTCATGATCCGATAGAACGCTCCCCCTCCTTATATACAGTTGGAATATGAACCCGAGCGATATTTTCACCCGCCTCTTGTGGTGCTACGACTACAAAAGCTCACAACAACCAGTTAGCACAGAGCATGTCACTTCTCTAGCATACCCTATTCCATGTGAGACGCAGGCTCTTTAGGAATATGGCTGAGCGAGGTAGGCGTCTGGAGGGTGTCCAGGGTACAACAGTGACGCCTTCTCCGTGCGATTCCGGTGAGCCTAAACGAGCGAGAAGCTGGACAGAGCTTTAGAATCCTGGACGCGAACCAATGGGTGGATGGTTTGGCGATGACGTTGTGGTGGTGCGGTCCAGGCTATAAAGCGATCTCTCTGGCCCACTATTGGGGGGTTCCATCTATTCCTCTCAGAGTCACCTTTGCTAGCCTATTTCTCATCTATTCACGCTATTCACGACTAGTAGCCACCGAGTACACTTGCATTTGCACACTCGCGCGCACGCCATGTTTCTCTCTGCAGCCAACGAACACAACCTAAACGGTGAGTCCTGCCTGCTCTCTGATTTTACACGATAATTTCTGACGCACTCGTCTATGGGTGCTCGACTGTCCACACCGCGTCGCTGGACTTGGCCCTGACCGTATACTTATCTGATCGGCATACAGAACGCGCAACGAAGCCGACGACGAACGAGATCTCTACGTTTGTTCCTTTTTTTTTTGCTCTCGTTCTTCTCCATCTACTCGTCCACTTTGCCGTATTCTATACGCCTGCGCCAACGAGAGCGAATTATCGCGCGGCTCGCGTCTTTCCTCCCGTTCAAAGCAATTGCGTCGCCACTCTTTTCGAACCTCTCCCTTACCTCTCTCTTTTGTATCTGTGTACCGTTTGCTTATTCGTCCTCGCCCATTTCTCCCATGTTTCCTGGACTTGTTTATCAACATCTTCACAGAGAAAAGCATCATCCTAAATTACCTCGCGAATTGGCCAGGCCACCCATCAACCCCATGCCTTTTGCGGAGTCTCCAAATGCCCGGAGCAAGACTATCACCGTCGCAGACGGTCCCAACACTGGAGGGGTGAGTTCACGTTTGATCTCGGCGTCGTCTCTCCCAATGCGGATCGATACGCCGTGCTCCACCACCACACCCGCGCCCGTGCACAGTCCCAGTCGCTGACACTACTCTTGCTCACCAGGCATTAAATCAACACCCATCTCATTCCTTCGCCTTTGATGTCGGCGTTGCAGAAGACAAGGGTACGAGGAGGACGATGGAAGACTCTCATTCATTCGTAGTCGATTTCGACGACATACGTGGTCAAGGCTACTTTGGACTCTTTGACGGCCACGCAGGCAAACATGCTGCAGAATGGTGCGGACAACACTTTCATGAGGTGAGCAATCATTCCTTCTCCCTCCCCTTGGGCCAAGAAAGGGTGAGGCGTGGTGAGGCGTGCCATGACTCGTTGGGCCTGCGACTTGACGAGTTTCGCCACCGATGACACGCGCTCTGAATGAAAGAGTTGATCGGTGCCGTCGGCTGAGGTGGCCCAGGTTGCAGAGCTCCCAGAGGTCGACAATGGAAAACGATGGAAAAATAGCTCAAGCTCGCAGCTGCCGATCCCCGCGGGTGCTTAGCCCTGAGGGTTCATATTCCAACTGTATATAAGGAGGGGGAGGTTTTGTCACCGTTCTATCGGATCATGACAAATCCAGCTCCTTCTCCAAGCCACAATCGTCTTCTGATCTCACTTGGCTCTGCTTCG